TAGCCATGGCGTTTCTCCTTTTTGTCCTTTCTTTTACTTTAAGAAAAACTAGCATTAAAAAAAAAAAAAAAAAAAATCCTTCTTTTTCCTTCCCCATTTTATACGGGGACTTTTTTCATATAATTTCTTCTTAAAAAATATTTTATAATAAAATATTAATTTAATTACTGTATTATTTCAACTATTTAAATTAATTTTTTATATTTTTATTTATTATTTTAATTCTTATATTTTTAAATATATATTTTATTTTTTATTCATTAATATCATTAATAAAAATATTACATAAATTCATATTAATTACATTAGATATTCTGAATAAAATATTATTTATATAATGTAACAAATGGATAATACTAGTATACATGATAATTCTATAAATATTTTAAAATTAAACTATTTTTTAATTTGAAATCACAATAATCAAAATGAAAATATATATATATATGTATATAAATATCAATTTAAATATTTTAAATATAATTAAATTTATTATATTGTTTAAATTACATTTACAATATATCAAATAAAAATTTAGTTTAACCATATATGTAATTGTGTTGGGGGATTTTATTATATGATTTAATTATATCAAAAAATGTAATTAAACAATTATTATATTTTTTTTAATTTTAAACAATTATATTTTACTTATACAATTAACAAACACCATTAACTGAATCAAAATATATAATGGCACTAATGTAACTATAACCTTTAGCATATCTATCTATACATTTATAAATATTAATATATAAAATTTTGACACACCCAATATATTTTTTCACTATAATTTTTGATATATGTGTCAATTCAATCTAAAAAATAAATATATATACATATTTAAATATTCATATAGATGGAGAAAAACTAAATGTATTTAAAATTAAAAAAATAAAATAAAATTCACTAATATTGAAATTTAAAGCTAATAGTATGATGATCGTAGAGCGGAAAATTAGGCAGTAACTCTAATAATCTTTCGCAATTACAACTCTCATTTTCTCTCCATACGACTTCTACGCTTTTAAAGTAATGTCGCCAACATCTATATTGACTTAGCGCGCAACATAATTCCTTCGTTATGTTCATCAATGTCTCGCATAGCACCTATACGGTAAAATTAAATTTAAAATGTTATGAACTGATTTAATTTTAAATACTTTATAATATGAATATATGAAAATTTATATATATATATATTTAAATTTTAAGTACCTTTATTAATTGAATATTTCTCGTAGAATCAAAGTCCTGACATGAGAGTCGTGGATAGAGTTTGATGGATAGAGTTCGAACTCGAATCGTCCAAATCAATCCATCTACGAGATCTTTATAATTTACTGATTTTGTAAGATTTTTTATAGTTAATTGTACGTGATTCAAAATTTTTTTTTGAAAATTCAGTTTTCTTCTTATATTTTCCACGTGAAATATAACCTGTAAAACAAGATTAAAAAAATATTTTTTAAAATATACAAATTAAATAGTCTTTAAATTAAAATAAATACTAATTAAATAAATATAAATGAAGACAAACCTTGGGGCTCCGGGACGAGATGTGCAAATTCACAGTTTTTGCTTGACTATATGTTGAAAGAAATTGTCTGAGTTGAAAAAACTCAAGACTATGGAGCTTGCGGTAGATGAATACGAATTTTGCAGTTTGAACGGTTGATGTGTTGATAAACTGTAGCCAACGGGGTTTGATGTGTCCTCTGTAGGTGAATGAGTGTAGATTAATGGAGTCGTGGAGAACAGGGCAAGAGGGATGGAGATCTCGGGTGGAAAGATCGAGATGTTTAAGGTGACGATTTGATAGATTCAGTGTACCATGGATGGTGCACTGGCGGATTTGCAGAGTTTCAAGGGCTGGGAAATCAGACAACAATGCTAACCATTGTTTACAAATTGGCATACTTACAAATTTCAACACCTTCAATTTCTTACAACCCGTTATCTTCACATCGCATGGGTGGCCTTTATAACTCACGCAATGTATGAGCGATTCGAGACTCTCCGCCTGATCAATGCGGAGAGTTTGAATGCAGACCTGGTAGACTTTAAGGGATTTGAGTTTCGCCAAACCGCAGAGTCGAAGATCTAACAAGCCCTGACAGATGATTATAGAAAGTTGTTCAAGTAATGGGCAGGAATTGACGAGACTCGTAAGAAAGTTTTCAGTTAATTCTATTTCCTGGAGGTGGAGCTGTTTCAGTGAAGGAAATTTCAGAGAATCAATGGAGTAACCTTCAGGCTCCCTCAGCTGACCGCTACGAAGCTCTAGAACTTGGAGAGAATGAGCGTAGATGCTGGAAGGGAAAACAGAAAAAAGAGTGTATACCGGTCGATTCAGATGAAGATGCTTAACATGGTGAGCTGCGGCCAAGTTAATCCAATCATCGATATAATTGCGCAGTTCGAAGTGATAATACTTGACGCATAATTTGAATCTTTGTAGAGAAAGCCTCTGTTGGTTGCAGAGTCTTTGGAGATGCTCATTTACGAAAGGAACGAAAGGATCGGTACATGAATCCCTGTTGGGAAAAAATTCATCGTCGAAGTCGGAGATGAGAAAGGAATCCCACGCTCTACGCCATGGCTTGCCGAGGACGGTGGTCCGGCCGGCTTCGTTGAGGGGAAGCTTAGACAAGATTCGGTGGAGAAGGTGAACCGGTAACTCAGAAATATGATCGACACCGGTCTTCTCCGCCGCGCACATCCCAATTCGGTAAGAATTCAACATTGAAAGCTTCGTTTTAGTTTATGGCATCTACGTATACGTCTGCGTGTATGTATATATAGATACACAAACACATGCTCTCCGAATTACATTCAAATTGTATTCCTAAATGTAATCGGAGCTGTTTTATTGACACTCACTAAAACGACGTCGCATTGAGTGTCTCCCACTCTCCCTCTTCATGATTCCTTCTTGTGTTTTATAAGCAGGAGAAGGGAGACTCCTGCACGCCTTTTCTTCTCCTCCGGCGTGCAGATCTCCTCTCCATCTTGTCCGGATTCCAGAGACGTCTCCGCCTCTTCCTCTTCCTCTTCCTCTCACGCCTCTGCAACTTCTTCTTTTTGTTCCTTTTTCTCTTTATTATTATTATTTACTGTTTATTATTTATGAACATCTAGTAGATGGCTAAGTGGTGAAAACAGATTTATCAAACAATGCGGCCAGTTCTTGGTTTCTTTTTACGTAGTAGGGATGAGAATGGAGGTTTGGTATGGTTGAGAATGCTCAAGTAAATGCATGTAAAATGAGGACCTAATAAAATACCATGCACTACACGGCAGGCGTCTCTGCACCTTCACGATCTCCACAGTTCTAACCAGAACTTTTCTTTTGAGACCAATACATTTTGGTGACTAGTCCTGCCTCCAAGAGAATCACCAGTAGCTCATAATTTCATAGAGTCACCATGTGATCGTTATGGCACAGCTAGTTTTGTTTCCCTACTTTCACCCTTAATTTATAGAGGATAACACCATATCAGACCTTTTAACTTCATCAAAAACTACATACTGATACTCAAGACTATGATAATCGTGCTGCTACTGGCGATATAATAAGATTTGTTAAGGTGAGAGAGAAATAACACAGGAGAAAAAGAATATAGAATTGAGAGCATACAAAAACCTGCATCTATTTAGTTCAAATCCCATACACACAATGGCCTTCCTATATAAGTTTGAACTCTCTTATCATTTAACTTGAATTTCTTTTTCTGCGATCTTTCTTTGTTTGAGCGGTTGATTTCTACGAATATATGTCAACAGATATTAATAATTGTTCTAATTCAGTTGTTTGAGTGGTTGATTTGTGTAAATATTTGTATAAATTAAAAATTACTTTAATTTTTACATCATAATGAAAGTTTTCGTTTTGAGTAAAAGTTGAAATATATTAAGGTGGATAAAAATGGGTATGATAAAACTGATGATAATATGTTCGAATGGTTCAATTTAAAAGATTTAGTAGTTTAACTTGATTATACAGTTGTGAGCAACATATGATTGTTCTTACCTGCTAAGAGTACGAATTTTATAGTAATGGCAAAATCATCGATATTTTCCTTTAGGGTTGTATTCCATTGGATCCTAAAATTGTTCTACTCTATAATACTTTCATAAAAGATTTATATTTAGAGAATATATTTAATGTATCAGCTGTATTAAGAAAATAAACTTCTTGACATATAATGAGTACAATGCAAATAAAATAAATTATAAGTCAGACAGTACAATAAATCTTGCAGGCAAAGTGAACAATAATAATATTCCAGCACAGTTTGAGGTGATGATGGGGTAGAGTATTCAGTTACAAATAGTTATTGCATTGAACTCTTCAAATTCAAGTAGTTATTTTTAAAATGATGATGTGGGTATTGTGCCTAGGCGTAAAAGCTCATGTGTAAGAAATGATGTGTCCTCTGTAGGTGAATGAGTTTAGATTAATGGAGTTGTCGAGAACAAGGGGAGAGGTGCGGGGACCTGGGGTGGAAAGTTCGAGATGTTTAAGGTGATGATTTGATATCTTCAATCTGCCATGGATGTAGCAATGGCGGATTTGCAGAGATTCAAGGGCTGGGAGATCAGGCAACAATTTTAACCATTGTTTACTAATTTGTATATTTTCAAATTTCAACAACTTCAATTTCCTGCAACCCGTTACCTTCATATCGCGTGGGCTCATGGTGGAGAATTTGAATGCAACCTTGGACAAGTTTAAGGGATTTGAGCTTTGCCAAACCGCAGATTCGAAGAGTTAACAAGTCGGGACATCTGATTATAGAAAGTTGTTCAAGTAACGGGCAGGAATTGATGAGACTCATAAGAAGGTTTTCAGGTGAATCTATTTCCTGGAGGTGGAGCTGTTTCAAGTAAAGGAAATTTCAGGGAATCAATGGAGTAATGTTCAGGCTCCCTCAACTGACCTCCACTAAGCTTTAGAACTTGGAGAGAATGAGCATAGATGCCAAGAATGGAAACAGAAAGAAGATCGTGTATTGGTAGAGTCAGATGAAGATGATTAACATTGTGAGCTGAGGCCAAGTTAACCAAATCATCGAGATAATCGAGCAGTTGGGAGTGATAATACTTGACGCATAATTTAAATATTTGCAGACAAAACCTCTGTTGGTTGCATAGTGTTTGGAGATGCTTATTGACGAAAGGAAAGACTGGATCGGTGTATGAATTAATGCCGAAGAAAGGTTCACCGTCGAAGTCGGAGATGAGAAAGGAATGCCAGGAGCTACGCCATGGCTTGCCGAGGACGGTGGTGCGGGCGGCTTCTTCGAGGGGGAGCTTACAGACGATGCGATGGAGAAGGTGATCCGGTAACTCAGAAATATGATCGACACCGGTCTTCTTCGTCTCGCACATTCCAGTTCGGTGTGAATTCAACCTAGAAAGCTTGATGTAAGGTCATGACATCTACGTATATGTCTGCGTATATATCTATATATATATATATATATATAGATATATAAACAAATTTAAAAAATCTGGATTATATTCAAATTTGTTTTCCTAATTGTGTTTTCACCTTTCCGGTTCAGGAGTTGCTATATTGATCGTCACAAAACGATGTCGTAGCCCCTCTCTCCCTCTCTCTCTTTATGACACAGCAATCCGGGGGAAGCTATGTTGACGCGTTTCAGGAGTTGTTTTGGCGATCGTTCCAAAACGACGTCGCAGCCGATACCTCTCTCTCTCCAACACATTGCTACGTTGGTACGGTGTCGTTTTAGTTATTTCTACTTTCTTCCCATATTGCTTCTCTTAGATATGCATCTCAATTCTGTTTTTATGCTAACTGGAAGATTTATATACAAATTTATCCAAAAATCCATAATACTCAGAAAAATTGCAACTAGTACAGAGTTCCCATATTACTTCTGTTAGATATGCATCTCAATTCTGTTTTTATGCTAACTGGTAGATTTATATACAAATTTACTCCAAAGAACAGTCCAAAAATCCATAATACTCTGGAACGTTGCAACTAGTACAGAGTTTACATGCAATGCTTCTACATTGCGAAAGCATTTTACAGCAAGAAGAACCTAGATTACTTTATTGGAAATGTTTCCAATGTTCTGGAAAGCTCAGCCGAACCCGGCAATCCACAGCTTAAGTTAAGATGTCACAGAGCTTTAGAAGAAAAACAAAAAAAGTGAATATGCGATTTATTGAATAAAAAAATTATCAAAATCTGCTTTTTCACTTCTTCAATAGCATTGCGCTGCATTGAGCCATTATCTTGGACGCCCTGGTGATTGAATCAGTCATATAGAAGTTCTCAATGGTTGACTTGAATGGTGTTGAACTCATCTTCTCAGCGCACTCAGGCTGCAAAGAAGGCCCAAATGTAGCAGGTTCCCGTTCGTCCATATGCAAGAGGTTGGGTGCCACAGTCCGAATACGTGATCTGATGGCTCCGAGGGTGTCATAAGGCAACCTAACTCCTGCCACCTCAGAGAGTGCCCGGATTATCTTCCAGTCATCCCTAGCATCACCAACAGTTGGAACAGCTGGTAATGTTTGTTGGGTACACCCTTCAGTATTCTCATAAGTCCCTTCCTTTTCGCTGAATGCAGCAGAGGGGAGAATAACATTGGCTCGATAAACACCATGGTCACCATGGTGCCCTTGATAAACCACAAAGGCATCTTTTGGAACCTTCTCCACGTTCAAATCATCAGCACCCATCAAATAGACAAACTTTGCAGACTCTATACATTTATCTGACTCAGGGATGAGTCCAAGGTCGAGAGCTGCAGCTTGGGCAGCATTCAGGAGTAAAAAGTTTAGCCCGTTCCAGTCAGATCGGACAACATTTCCAGATTTTGCAATGGCTTCCACAGCAGAGAAAACTGCATTTTTGTCATCTCTGTCGAATAGTCCAGCACCCACAATAATGGCTGGGTTCTTAGCATTTTTGATAGCTGAAGAAAATGGGTGACGATCCTCAGCAATGTCAGTAAGTGTTTGGGGACCTGTGCCCAGATGCTCGCAGTCATAGTTGAAATCTGTTGCAGGACCAATGTAGCCAACTTTAGCATTTGATGCTCGAACAGTCTTCTGGATTCTGGCATTCACCATTGCAGCTTCAACTCTTGGCTGACAAATCAAACCAGAAAATATGAGATTTGTTCTTCAATTTGTTTTTCACCACCTATAACAAAAGTTTTATGTAGACAGCACACACCCTAAGAATAAGATAGGACATAAAGAGTAAAATGAAAATATGCACAAGCCATTCACTTTGCAGAACTAAGGAATCTCCAGCTCTCAAAGGAGGCTCCATAAACATGATTGTTTAGCTCCTACAGCAATTCCTCAAAAACAAAAGAAGAAAAAACCAATACCAAATACATTGAAACATATAAAATGCATATCCTTAGAAGATATTGACAGTGCTTGAGAAGAAATGTAAGAGCATTACCTGGGTGCCAACTAAAAGGAAAACATCTGCTTTCTCAAGACCGCTGATACTACTGTTCATTAGATATCTGTATCTAAGATCAGCATTAGGGGTCATGCCATTTCCTTCGCACCACACATTGTTTGAACCCATCCTGTTCAACAAATCTTTCAGTGCCATCATAGATTCAGCATCAGATAGCTTACCGGCAATCCCAACTATTTCCTCTGGTTTAACTTGATGGACAATTTCGGCAACAATAGATAGGGCATCATGCCAGCTCACAGCCTTAAATCGGCCATCAGCATCGCGAATCATAGGGTCATTTAGCCTCTGCCTCTTTAAACCATCATAACAGAATCGAGTCTTGTCTGATATCCACTCTTCATTTATATCCTGCAACATGTCAAAAAGGCACGATAAAAATGTGAAGTTCTAAAATTTTTCTTCAAAGTCAAGTTCTTCCAAGATACACACATACAACTGCTACTGTATACATATCAGTGACTATGCAATATCGAACAGTCTTAATCCATTTGAAAACAAATCAACTGACAATCAGCTCTATTGCTTCCACAATTTCCTTGTTCATAAGAATGAATTATACAAGTATTAAGAACAATAGCAATAGGCACTTCACTTTTCATGAACCAGATGAAAGGATCTAAAATATTATTTCCATATGATAAGTGCAATGGCCCAAGCCATGGCAAGCTATGGTGTGTTCCAGCAGCACTCACTTAACTATATCGAAGCACATGTTTAACTGACCAGAACTGATTTAACGACTATATGTTATGGATAACCTATTATGGGACCTCAATAGCACTCTCATCAAGCATGTCTAACATTATCGGAACATAGGAATTGGTAAGAGTACTTATTCCAATCTCACCATGGATTTCATTACTTAATCATAAGAAGAAATGAGTTATAAGACCTCTGAAAAAATTCCCATAGGAAGAAGTTATAAGAATTATTTCTAAAACATGTCATGTGAAGCCATGGAAATTGCATGTAACATGCAGCTTTTTCATCTCCTTCATATGGCAGGGCCATACGTACAGATGATAATACTATATTTACTTACAATTATTAAAAATATGACACAGAAGAATTAATTTCCTTTTTCCACTGCCACTCCAGACACAGAGAGTTCATGTGAAAAAGTTAATTGGATTATATGTAAAATGAAAAACAGCATATGAGTATACCTCATTTAACCGTGGAACAATGCGCATGACCTCTGGACCTCTGCTATCAATCCTAATGTTAGATCCAACAGCATCAGTAACATCAATGCTCTCTGTTCCTTTCAACTCCCAATTTCGAGCTTTAAATGCAAAGGGTTTTGAGGTAAGGGCTCCGACAGGACAAATATCTATGACATTTCCAGAAAGTTCACTAGTCATAAGCTTTTCAACATAAGTCCCAATTTCTTCTCCACTACCACGACCTAACATGCCAAGATCCTGAACCCCAGCTACCTCTGTTGCAAACCTCACACACCTATTAAGCTCAAAGAGAAAAAAAAAAAATCAAACACTTGTTTTCGTCTAAAAGTAACATACATATTATAATGTTCAAGTGATACTTCCTATTAACTCGGATCACGTCCCTAATCACATTAAAATATGAAAGACCAAAATTGATATTCTACCTTACATTAAAAGCTATAGGAGGGAAAATATTTGGTTCTCTCTAACCTTGTACACTGAATACATCGAGTCATCACAGTCTTAACCAAAGGGCCAAGGTTCTTGTCAACCACCGATCTTTTCACATCAGTGAAACGACCACGATCAGATCCAAATGCCATAGACTGATCCTGAAGATCACATTCTCCACCTTGATCACAGATTGGACAATCCAATGGATGATTCATAAGCAAAAATTCCATGACTCCTTCCCTTGCCTTCTTTGCGACTGGTGTATCGGTCTTAATTTTCATTCCTAAGATACAAAACCTTTGGTGTGTCAAACATAATGTATAATTAGCCACAAAATGTTGATGCACATGTGCAAGATAAATGTGATTAAGGTCAGAAGAAAATCAAAGGCGCAAACTCAAATCAGCATATAAATCATAAAGTTCATGACCCTATCATACCACCTCACTCTTTTCCACATATCTGAAATTTCTCAGAATCAAAATTCTTACAAAACATACGGAACTGAACCCTGGACTTCTAATAAAATTGCATTAACTTGTCAATTTATCAAGAAAGGTCACCCTGAAAAAATGCTAAAGAGGGTTAAAAGTTATGCAAAATTTAGAAGACGATCCAACCCAACGGGAAAACAGAATAGGCAACACAATCAATCCGAAACGAGCAATGCAACAAGATTCAAAAGCTTCAAATGAAACAAAAAAAAAAAAAACAATCAGGCCATCTGTGTATAGTAGGATTTAAAAGCAGCGAAGAGCCACAGTCGCACAACAATCCAGCATAATTTGATCCCAATCAAACCCAACAAATAAATACAATCACAAACGCAGATTAAAACAAAGCAAATTTAACGAAAACAAACCGGGAAGCGCAGGCATGGCGCATGAAGCGACGGGCTTGGGGGACTTCTCGACCTCGACCAGGCACATACGGCAGTTTCCGGCGATAGAGAGTCGGCTATGGTAACAGAACCTCGGAATGTCCACGCCGGCGACCTCGCACGCCTGCAGGACGGTGAATCCCTTGGGGATCTTGACCGGGTACCCGTCCACGAACACCTCGATGGCATCTTCCGGGTTGGGTAAATGGACTCGGGCCCCACCAACGGGAGTACGGGGAGGAAGATCGGGGGCAGTGTCTGGATTGGCCGCCGCGGCGGCGGATTCAGGGGATTGAAGCTCCGGTTTGGTGACGATTGTCCGGAGGAAAAGCCTAGGGTTTTGAGAATTGAGGAGAGTCGTTGCGGGCCTCAATACCCTCGAAGCTAATATCCCTAACCCCATTATCTTTCTGCAAATCAATTTCCCACTCCGTTTCTTCTCTCTACACTATATACAAAGTCCCCTGCCAAGGTAGTAATGTTCAATTACTAGTGAAAAAGAGAAATGTTGAGTTGTTCGTCTGGTTTTGTTTGCCGTTGGGTTGAAATTCCAGGCGTGTGGTGTACACATCTGACACCAAGTTCAAGGAATAATGGAGGTGGAGCAAGTCTCGTCTTGACCCGACCCAAGTTTTATTCTACTGGGCCGTCCCCTTCAGCGCCCAAATAGGTTGTATTTTGAGTTTAATTTATATAATTTTTATTATTTATAATTAGAGAAATTAATTTTTATTGTATAAATGTTTACTGATATTTTATTTCCACTATAGTTTGTTAAAAGATGAAAAAATATTACTTTCATTATTTAACATTCTAATTTTTTTTTTTTGGGAAAAAGAAAAGGTGGGTTCTTATAAAACGTGTGAAATTTACTTTTTTTATATATAAAAAAATTATTTTTATTCATTCATTTTCTAAAATTTAATTATTTAATATCTAAAAATTTAGTTATAACTTACATATTTGATATATAATTAAATTAATTCAGCTTATCTCTTTAATTCCATAGTAATATATTTCCATTTTTACATGTGAAAGAATAAATCAACAAAATCACATAACTTGGAATTCTATGTAATATTGACTTGTAAGTAAAATATTATTTTAATTCAATTGAATTGTATTTATATTTATATCTTTTGAAATTAAAAAATGGAACTGACATAAATTTTCCTGTTAAACTCCTTTTGTTCATCATTGACCTTTGACTAAAATCGTAATTCTTTTATGTTTTCAAATAAAATTAATTATTATATTTTACCTTTATCGTTCGAAAATCATGAAATTGACATATAAAATATAATATATAGTAGACTTATACTTAAAAGAACCATTTAAAACATAAACTTTATGGAGAAATACATCTTTTATATAAGAGTTAAATCGTTATTATTTTTAAAATTTTGTAATTATAGCAAACTCTTAAGAACTTCTTTGTAATATACCTTAAAATATAATAATAGTTTCATACTTATTTTGATAATCTTTATTTATAACATAACTAATAATGAATTAAAATTAACAATATATTAAAAAAATAATCAAATATAAATGTTTTAATTTAAATTAATCAGATTTTTAAAATAATATTATTTAAAATCCAAGTCCAGACTATCCAAATATAAATTTGCAAAAATAAAAAATTATTTTGTATAGCAAATATGTATGAATATGGTATCAAATTTTATTAATAATTCCACATAAGTTTGAATCGAATAGTAAAATCCGTAGATTTTTATGATTGATGATAAAAATGTAATACTAACTTAATGTATACATGCTCTGAAAAATAAGTTATGTTGTGGGGAAAGATGTGTTCAAGTCATTCCAATAAGAAAAGTCCATGGAAAAACCAGGAACCTCTCTACTTCTATATAAAATCAGAACGCACAATGAAACCTTCAAATTCTATCTCTAATCAATTTTTAGGTAGATCACAAACTTTAGTCAGTTTAAATTCAAATTATACAATCAGTCACCCTGTATTTAATCCTAGCTCCTAGCACTCTCCAAGTGTTTCAGAAATTTATAACTAGATTTCTTAATCCCGTTTCAAGGCCTTCGTGATTAAGCTTCTTGTAGATATAATTGCTAGGTAAGCTAATACCGTGATGGCAATACCTGCAAGCAAGACAATACGGTCATAAGCAGCATCCTGGACAGTGTAGACACGGAGTCCTATTGTATTCCAGTTGCTCTCCGTCCAAACAGGGTCCAGCATTCCCATGGTATCGGAAGAATTCGAGGGCAATAAATTCCAAGTTCCAGATTCAAACTTCAATCTAGTGGAATATGCTGGAACATACCTGGAATAGTAAATGAACATCTTTTTATGTCTGTAATAAACAACTCAAGAGTAAGATCTTCAAATCACACATTAGTTCATTTATCCTGAACTGGAACAGACAACTCCCAATCATATATTCTGATTACTTGTCATGAACTAAGGTAGGTAAACAAGATGCATGTAATAAGTTTGCACGGCAAAATAATACAGCCAAGCGGAAATAGAGACTAGATTTGGTAGCACATCATTGTTCCCAATGCAGCCAAAATATATTCCTGATAACTCTGTGCACAAAGAGTGAGGTCCGATAGGAAAATGCTATATCCATTTAATCAATAAAGACGTGTTTTTACGGACAAAATATCTTAATACCCAAGCCCCAATCGTTCATTGGAGGGCAACAATCCTCCCATCTGACTAAATGTTTCTTGAGGACTCACCTCTACCAGACCAAATGAAATTTCTTATTACCACTAAATTTCTTGTGTATCAATATAAGATATCCACAATGCAGCAGTAATTTGTAAAAATAAGAGAACTGGAGTGTAGTTTCGTATGGGAAGCTAAATATTATACACAATTTGGCTCAGATGACCAAGTTGCAACACATCGAGGTAAGACTGCTATATAAGCACATAATCCGCAACCTTACCAACTAATCTGACACGTGTAGTTCATAAAGATGCTACATTTTTTAAAAGAATAGATGCATCTTTAGAAGAGACAGTATGCTCAAATTTCTATTCTACAATTGAGTTCCTCAAATTCTCCATGGGACCATGCTCACTAACTTCCCTGACCAAACAACTCCAGAAAAGAGAAGGGTAAGAAAAAAAAGAAGAAAAACTAGGGTTGAGGGAAGAAGTGGGTTTCTGGTTTTACTAGACCTGTTCAATTTTCGAAAACCATCTAAATCAATGTCAGTAAAAGAGATAATCTAGCAGCAGATGACAATAGTAAATACAATAAAGAGTAGAGACAAAATAAAACCTCCAGTGGTATCATAAACATCTTTAACTTTTACTAACATAACCATAATTTTTATTCAGTTCCATTACTAGATTAAAGTTCTAGCAAATACATTACCTGGTCGTGGATGTAACACACACTCCCTTGCCATCGGTTTCTGCTTTGATGCAAACTTCACTTCTGTTGCTACAACCTTGAGAACAAACAGAAGTGGCATTGTCCTCCAGTTTGGATGTTTTATCAGCCAGAAAATTCCAAACAAATCTAGAAATATCACTGACATATCCAGGATATGGCGTGGCAGAAGGTTCCCCAAGGATGACACCAACATAATGGCTTGGGCATGTACCAGCAGGCGAGATGTAGTTCTTCACCAGCTCGCAAGATAGACCAGGATCACAGTCTAATAGACAGCCCATAAGTTCTTCAACCAGAGTGATATTCACACTGATGGCACTCAGGTCGGAACTACTTACATCTTTGCTATCACTTGCAAGAATGTAAAGTGTACGTGCAACAAGAGCAGCTGCTGCTGCTACAGATGAAGAGTTTATATTTGCTGTATTGAAGATATGAACCAAAATAGAAGGTGAGGAAAAAGGAGATCCGGAATGGTCATGTAAAATTCGAGATAAGTTTTAAGGCAAATAAAAAGCAAATCATAGGAGAATATAAAGTAACTCACACAAATCATCAAGGTGACTATGGTAGAATTTGTTGGTGAAATTGTTATCAAAATCTTCTAATACAATCCCAGGGGTGAAAGGGTTCTGTAATGTGAGACAAAAAAACAGCCAATAAGTATACAGGAATCTAACTCATAATCTACATTTAATTGTCTTTAAAAGAAAATAAAAAATTTATGGCTTCTTTTGGTACATGAATTTTTTTTGAGTTATTAGTTCTAAAATTAATATTGTATTTTAAACAAAAACACATCAATTAATAATTAAGTGAAAATTATGACGGAGCGAGAAAATTTTTAAATTTTCTTAGTCTTTTCTATATTTTTGTTTGTGCTTAATTGTTCTATAAATTCACATCTATCATATACTTTCATGGATTGACACACGAATTTAGAAAATGAAAACAATAAAGTTTTTTCATGTACTAAATGGAGCATATATTTCTTTGCTTTCCATTTTGCTTCATAAGTTTCTGTAGCCATGAAAATCAGAATATTCAGATTGATAAGTAATCTCATAAGTAGTTATTAATTTAAGTCAAAATCAGGCTTTTAGAGTAAATCATAATTCTAATTGGCGAATTCCAGAAGTTGAGTGGAGCAGTCATTCAGACCAATGGTTTTTCATAACCAAATTTCATAATCATGCAAGTATGGATCTATGACATGAATAATTAGTTCGAAATCAGCTTATCAATTAATCAGGAAATTCTAGTAACCAAGGAGCACAGAAAAGTAGTTCCTGAAAGGGACAAGAAACCTGAACATAAAATGCATCCAACAAAGAACTGCTAAGTTCAAATTCTTTTTTTTCCCAGTAGTTATTATTTTACAGGTTTCTTAAATTTAAATGAAACAAGTGAGAAAATAGAGAACTTCGTATTATATTTACATCTTATGTGCCAAAAAGGCAAGGAACTGCTAAAAGAGAAAAAATATAAGCTTAGATGTTCATTATTCAGTACCTTCCTCAGAAATGCCATCAGGGAAGATGGAGGTATCCCAGGATTTGAATTGCTAGCTGAAAAAATTGAAACACTTTCCGATTTGAGTGAATCCCCAGCTTGTTTTAAAGCATCCAGTGTCTCATTTGTGTTGGATGAAACCTGCAAAAATACAAACAGATAAAAGTAAGTAATATTTCACCTCACCCATGCGAATATATACTGTCACTATACAGTATGAAGAACCACAACTTTGGCTGTCTTGGACCATGAGGATTGTTAGAATATTTGAACACTTGCATGCAAATATACATTGTCAAAAAACAAACTGAAGGACCATAATTCAGTCATTGGTCTTGGCCATGACAAGTTGATTCATGGAAAATCAATCAAGTTCCGATCAACTTCTTCCTTTGTTAACCAGGTAAAAACAAAAGGCTGTAAACTAGAAACCATTATCCTACATTCTTTCCATTTCTGCTGGAATATGTCTACTCACTTAAAATCTCTCAATCCCAAATTCTCTTTTCTTGTCAAACCTCTTGCTTATAATCTATTTTAAAAATAAAAATTATCAGTTTATGGCATGTCAATAAGGGGCACAGAACTTTTTTAAGAAGAAGAAAATACTATAGAGAGAGAAAGAGATAGAGAGGATAATATATTCTGCTATCAAACTACCAGTTCTTTTTTTGGGGTAAAATTCAGCTACCAATCTACAACAAAAAATTAAAAGGAAAAAGGGGCCAGATATTAATATAAAAGAGCCTCCCAATTCATTTGCAGACAACAAGTAGGGGAATGCACCAATTATCAGATCATAAATTAGATGAGACTAGCAAATTCACTTCATTCACAAAGGAGAAGAAATAATAGGTTCAATTACTGTATAACAGCTACTACAATCAACAATTTGCTAGATAGAAGAGAGCATTACAGCGAGAAGAAAAGAAAAAGAAGTTCAAGAAAGAGAAGAAACATCCTGCATCAGCCTTGACAGAAATCCAGGGAGGTCAAATAATTAAGTCAGGTAAAGCATTGCTGTTTGGATGCACTCTAACAATGACAAATCAGCCATATGCGTTTATCACTTTCTTCCATAGATACTAAGCAGATAAGTTATATTTGGATACTCTCTCAAAATATACAGTCTTGTGAGAACAACTTTTCATGTGAGACTCTAGTTTAACTGTAATCATTTCTTGTTTAAGCTAATTGAGAAAGAACCAATGATTATCATTAAACCTTAACTTCTGGCCCTTGCATTACGAGGTTCCACTCCAGTGACCAGCATGCATTAACATATGGTAATTAAAAGTTGTACTATAACCAGCAAAGGTTTCATAGAATTAATTGAATCTTTACCAACTGGGAGAAAGAACTGCTCATAAAATCCTTTTCAAAATCTCAACCCTTATTATTGTACAATTCCATAAAAAGTTGCATCATTTTATAAGAATATGGTGAAAATCAACAGATCCAATAAGTTCGTTCAAAGAAATTGCTACTGACCTAGTTCCTAACATTCATAAACGTTCTTCAAAAATGGCAATATTGGCTAACAATACTTAACCACCAAGCCCGTTATTTCCACCAATGGGGAAAAAAAAAAACAGAACTGCTGCTATCTTGACACCCATCACTATCCTCACCAAAATATGTACCAATCTGTGGCTCTTCTGGAGGACTACTGCCACAATAATCATAGATTGCTTTTCAGCTTTTCTACAGAGGCAACAATATTTCAGTAATATATACTGCATATGCGTGAAGTTTACCTTCCTTGATGATAGAATCATAAACAAAATGAGCCATGTAAAAAGTTAGCGAGACCTATAAGCTGATAATGGAGTAAAATATTAAGTTCAAAGATAAACATATTTTCACTCTCAAAAAAGATTAAAAAAAGAGATACACATATTCTCACCCCTGCTTTATGGGCATAAAAGGTTTTGATCCCTTGACTTAAGCCTTTTCCAACAGATCCAATTTCTACAACCTTTTCCACAATCAGTAAACAATTTGTTAGCTTCTTAAAATAATTGCAACCTCCAAAAGAAAATTTAAGAAAATTAATTATCTAAACATAAAACTAAGTAAACATGACACTGTTAGAAAAAAGGCTTTATTTTTACAATTTCTCCAAAATAGAAACACGGTTACAATAAAATCATGTCAAAAAGAGGAAGTATCATCCGGGAAAACCAAATAAACAAAGAACAACAAACTAAGGCAAAGAAAAGCTGTTGGCATCAAACATTTAAGTTTGATAACTCTTTCCCGTATGTTATTCCTGTTTTGTCTCCTCCTGAGGGCAGCATGGTTATTTTGGGGGATGTTGGTTGTCAATTGTTAATTCTGACAAATATCTGGAACAGGCCTTTCTTCTTCTTGGACTAGTTGGCAGAGACAAAGATGACGTGGGAAGTCGCTTGGGTCACACATGGATGCTCATGATCTACAGTATTAATGATTTATTGAATCCAGTAGTTTGCAGACTTTCTGGATGACTTCAATCTTACAGAGTTTCACACCATGCAAGGATCATTATATGGGCTAATTTTCCGGAGCATCCATCACTCTTGGAACTAAATCCTTCCGAGGCCTGTATCTGATCATCACTTGGTCATTCTAGAGTGGGGGAAAGTGCAAGGAGGCTCCACACCCTTTTAATTTAAATGTATGTGCTTGACAACAGGTGGCTTCAAGGATCAATGGAATGGTAAGAAAGAATAAAGTCAGATGGATATGATAGCACTATGGTGGCTCCTAAACCCATGAAGTTTAAGAGCATGTGAAACAGGGATAAGAAGTGCTTTTGGCATGTGAACAGGCAGGTGGCACATGAAACTCACATTCTGAATTCAAACACCTGGTTTTGGTAACTAAGAACAGGAATAACCCTTGCAACATGTAGTTTTATCAAACGAAAAGAAAAGCAATGCCATGCAATCAGGATCAATCTTCTCCTAATTTATCTCTGTAAGTGGATCTTTATTAACAATCTTAGCAGGTCTAACCAAAACTATGAGAAATTAGGTAACAAACCACTTTGAGAAGCTGATATGTACCGTCTCAATTAATGTGCTATTTAGTCCCCTAACAGCTTCAGTCCTCAGATCAAGTTCAAGCAAGAACCTCCGGCTACCAAGGTAACCCCAGGACTCTCCAGTGAGAACCAGAAAGACAAGCTGCATTAACATTAAGAATCTGTCAGTACGCATCCAGCTCTTAAATTAGTAACAACAACTGTGAATGTTAACAAAAGCCCTATAATCCCATAAATGACTAGCAACAGTAAGCTATAATTTATATTTTCAGAAGGAAAAAGAAGTATTATGAACAGAGCACAAGTGCCACTAATGCACAGAAGACCACAATGGATTCAAATGCTTTAAGGTTGTATTGTGTTGGTTGTTTTTTTTTTTTTTTTTTTTTGGTTCTAAAAAAAAGAAAAAAAAAAAGAAAAGCAGACTATAATTTGGTGCTAGTGAATATGCCAGAACCATCAGAAATAAAATAATGTAAGAACTAAACTGAAATTTGAATCCATTTACCAATAAAACAACTTGACAAATCCTAGAAGATAGTCAGATTGTCAGAAAAAAAAAATGCATATGGAAAGGAAGACCAACTAATAAGCACCTGTTTATTGAGGTTCTCCAAACCATCAACATGAGAAAGAGCATCCACTGCTGCCAGCAGTGAGATCAGTCCCTAAAAGTATTTCGGGTATAATATTACATACTGATTTAGGCAGAAAAAATTGTAAGAGAAATAAATAAAATCTTAAATGGAAAAACATGCATCAAGCAAGTTGAACTTACAGATATTGGGGAATCTGCACCAAGATTTTTGTCACGAAAAAATGATGCAGAATCCATGGAGGTCATTGTTAATACAATGGGCTTCTTCTGGTCTGAGGATGAAATATTAATTGGTGGGAGAGATGACCAAACACTGCCCTTCATAATAAAGATATAAAGTAAAATTAGATTTACAAAATTTGAGCCCATTTCTGCGTCAGTTATATGCATTCAGTTTTCATTTTATCCAAGTAATAAGCACAAAGAGTTTAGTTCATGACTGAATATGGACTTATCTTCTCTGAAAAATTTTATGCAATTTCAATGGACATCCTTAATTGTCAACATACAACCACCTTTTTTCAGGAGAAAAATGAGAAAATCCCTTAATAGGAGACTAAGAGGGTGTCAACCATATAAAAAAGATTTACAAGTTAATCATGATATATACCAAATCTGCTAAATCCTTAGCATTTTTTTTTATAAAAGAAGAAGCTCCATTAAAAAAGCATGGAAGGACGGAAAGATCTAAAAGATGAAGAATAAGTTATCCTCCTCAATAAGTAAATTAAAAGTCAAAAATAAAAAATAAAAAATTGAAAACAGTGTGTACAAAATTGTCTCCTTTATCTTCTGTGTACGTTAACGTCCCAATTCACAATATAGTTATAAGATGCTTAAGTTTGGGAAGCCCAAAGGGAAGCCATAAAGATGACCCTCTCATTGAGCTAATGGAACGTCATCGCCTGATCAAGAGAAATCTGTTGACTTCTTGCTAACCATATGGCCCAAAGACCTGCAAAAATAGCACCTTGCCAAGCACCTTTGCTTCTTTTCTTACTCCAACCGCCGAAGTACATGAATTCATAAAAAATATCATCTGTAGGAGGCACCATCCAACTGAAGCCAAATTTATTCATCCAATCAGCCCACAATTTCCACGCCATGGTAAATTTTTTTTTTTTTTAAATAAAAGTGTGAATATGTAGTGATGTAAGGGTATCAAGGGGGCACCACCCATGTACAAAAACTTACATGTCGATTAGTATATCAACAATGAAACCAAGATCATCTAAGCAGTCTATGTTATGCCCCAAAAACGGTAAAACCAAAATAGTGAAACCAATTATCTATGATGGTACCAAAATCTACGCTTGTCCCTTCAAAAGCATGGTTATCTCTCTCATTGCATATGACCTAAAAAATGGTAAAAGAAATGAGTTCAAGCGTTTTCTTCTTGCTGCTAATGCCTTCCCAGGTAAGGACCTCTGAAGTGATTGACTCATTCATGACCCATGATATAACCAGTAGGCCGAGTACCGTGGACCAAATGTTATGAGATATAGAGCACCCAAGGAGAAGGTAGTTGCAAGTTTCTAGGTTGTTTTTGCAGAGGAAGCATCTATTGACAATGGTAAGACCTCTTTTCATCAAATTCTCCGAGGTAAGAATGAGGCAGGCCTTTTGCAGCCTCCCAAGCAAAAAAAGAAATTATGGAAGTGACACCCGATTTCCAGATGATACTGGAAGGGAACTTTCTCTCGCCATGAGTTGTGTTAGCAGCCAAGCAATTGTAGAAAGATTTGACAGAAAGACGTCCGTTCTTAGTTTGGTTCCATTTGAGTTTGTCTTCCTGATCTGTTAATTGAATATTAGCCAAAGTCTGAAGCAAAATCTCATATTCCTCAATTTCTCAGTCCTTCAGATATCTATTCATTACCACATGCCATTGCCTGGGGTTACCAGGATCAGCAGCACTGTTGGCCAGCAAGTTTTTATCCCTAGCAATTGCATAAATGAGTGGAAATCGGGTTTGAAATATATCCATGCCATGCCAAATGTCAGACCAAAAATGGATCTTATTACCTTTGCCAATACTCCAGCTAGAGTTGTGAAGGATAGGGTTGTTGAGCTTCCATATATTTTTCCATAAGCTTAACCCATGAGTATTGCTCTTGATTCGTGAATGGTCATAATTATCACCATTAAACCATTTATACTTTACAATTAATCTCCAGAGACTGCTTCATTTCAAAATCTCCAGATCCACTTTCCAATGAGAGCTTTGTTGAGTTTGTCTAGAGATCTCAAGCCCAAACCACCCTCTTTGAGAGGTACAATGTAAAAACAAATGGAAATTAGTATCATCATTTCTGAAGCACAAGATGTAAATATTAGGAGATAAATCACGGTAAAGGCGTTGAATCTGAAACAAATCTTTAGTATTGAGCTTTTGGTTAATAGTAGTCGATGGACATAACTTTACCTTCAAAGAGATTATAGCTTTTCAGAATACGTTGGCAATATGGAATTGCTTATCACTGGGTTCAGAAATACGGTACATAAAGAAAGACTTACATGGGAACAAACCAAAACGTTCAAGGATCCATGATCATCAATCTAGTGGGAAGTAATTTAGCAGGTTCATTGAGGTCCTGACATTAGAAGTCTTCCTATCAAAAAAGTTATGATTGAAATGGAAGTTCAAAGATATTTTTTCCCCAAAATTAGCAGCAAAGCTAGAGACATAAGGAGTGTATCACAGTGGGGATAACATCTTCATATGTCTAGTGCAGAGACATTTGAATGATTGAGAGATTGGAGAATATGAACAACTACTCATAATACTTTCCCAAGTTACCTTGATGACAATAGAGACGCATCGGTGTGGAATCAGATAAAGAATGCACTATTCACAGCTACTTTCTGTAGACAGCTCCTCAAGCATGATGGCACTAATTATTTTATTCCGCATAGGTAGATTTGGTTGGGGAAGATTCCACCCACATCTCCTTGTTCGCTTAGAAAGCTAGTAGAGAATGTATTCTGACTATAGACAAGCTAAGAAGAAGGGGCAAGATTTTGGTCAATATCTATTATTTTTGCAAAAGAGCGGAGGAAAATTACAATCACGTGCTATTATGGTGTCCAGTGGTCTACAGGCTATGGTCTATGGTTTACAAACACTCTTGGTATCAGCTGAGTGTGCTCAGATTCCGTGAGAGGAGAAATTTGAGCTTGGAAGGGGTTGGGTTGTAGGAGAAAATATGTGGAAATCATTCCACTTACTATCTTTTGCATTGTGCGGAAAGAGAAAAACAAAAGGGCTTTTGAAGGGGTTGAAGATATAGAATGGTATAATCTTATGAACAATAGACGATTTCAGACCCTTTATTTCTTGTTATTGGGTCACTCCGTTTATTATTTTGTGGAGTTAAGGAACCTATTCGATAACTAATTGATTTGTAAATATATTGTAAATGGGTTGGCATCCCTTTGGTACCAATATTAACGTACTTTTATACTTTTATTTCGAAAAAAAAATAGGCAGTATATCTAGTAGATAACTCGTAAAGCCAGTGAAATTTTTTGGCAAGTGATTGATCCCCCAACCATGTGTCCTCCCAAAAAAACCTCTCAATCCATTTCCCATATGTAGTTGAGCAAGTGGGCTAAACAAATGGTGGACCTGGAAAATGGATTTCCAACGACTATAGTGAGTTGTGGATACCCTGAAAGGGTCATCCAATCACCCCTCACTCCTCCATGGATACTGTTTATCAACTTGTGTCATAGAGAGTTTGGTTCATGAGAAAAGTGTCGTAGCCATTTTGCAAGTAGAGATAAATTCTTTGATCTTAGATTCCCAATGTCCAAACCACCCAAAACTTTTAGATTGACAATAAACCTCCAAACGAACTAAATGATCTATATTCTCCTCCAACTCCAGTCCATAGAAATCTTTTCGTTGTACCCTCAATTCTCTTTGCTATCCTAGCAAAAATGCTAATTTGAGATAGATAATATAATATAAATCCTTAATAAAACTAAGAAGGCGATCCTTAAACAAGAAACAAAGACACAAGATCTAGAATCACAAATCTCTAAAACTATCTAAGGCAGTTTTGGATCCTCAAATGCCCTTCTATTTCCCTCTTTCCAAATAACAAAAAGTTTCCAAGGGGATAAATAAGTTGTCTCCTGATCTTACCGCCTTGACCTACAGAGGAAGTCCAAATAAGGTTTATTTAGATTTTTATGGGGGAAGTTCTAGTAATTAGAAAAATAACAATAACTAGAAAGATTAAGCTAAGATTGAATTTGACTCATTGGTGGAGTCCAATCTACATCTTTCTCCATCTCTTGGATTCTCACCATGTATACACAGAAAATTCACCAAAATCAATTTGAAAGCTTATTCAAGAAATATTTATATCCCTCTTGCTAGTTTTTTCTTTTTTTTAGTCCTGAAAGGTGTCATCAAAGTTCAAAATGGAGTTGGGTAGAAGTCCACAAGGGGCACATGCCATCTGAGCTAAGCTGGTTTGGCATTCCCATTGCCAGTTAGCGTCCAGTTTCTCCAAATTTTATGCAAATTGAGCAATAAAATCGATATTTACTTCCCAGAAATATCAACAGTTTTCCATGCATTGTTTGGGAAGGTTCTTGTACACACGGTAGATTCAGTATCTTTTTTAAAAAAAAAATAAAAAGCATAAAGGGTATTAAATTACATGCACCAAGAGGGTGAAGAACCCATGTATGAAAAGAATTTACATATCGATAAGTATATCAATTAGTTAACCTAGGTTCTCTATGGAGTACAGATTTTGTTTCATTATCAACACTCCAAGGGGCTGGAACCATCTCTCTCAATTTCATCAATACTCCTCCACTCCCTCAAAAACTCCTATTCATTTCCTTCCAAACTATCCAAAAAATAGCCAATGGAATGAACCTCAAATACTTTTTTCATCTCGTTATATCCTTCCAATCTCATATTTTTCCCTTGATTGTACCCACCATGACCCAGTTGTATCTCAGAATTCCAAAGTTATAGACCATAAACTGTGGGCAATGGGACACCGAAGAAGGATGTGATCACGTGTTTCCTATGCTCGCTTACATGAACAACACCAATTCACCATAATCTTCTCTCTTCTTATAAACTTATTAATAGTCAAAATGCTCGCATGTGCTGCTTCCCAAGCGAAAAATGCTATCCTTGGAGGTGCATTTACTCTCCAAATGTATCCAAACAGGAAGCTTGGACTCTTCCTTGGTCAAGAATTTATAATACATCCATACGGGACCATATTGGTTGGTCCTGGTAGTCACTAAACAGTAGACATGGTATCTTACATTATGCCTTACAGATTTCTTCAACACTTAGATTGTCTAACTACTTATTTTTAGTTTACACTTGTTCCACTTTAAGATTATTATAATAAAATAATATTCAAATTGTTTCATTTCTGATTTTCCATTCAAAAAAATAATAGTAAGATCATTAACGAAACAATTTGAATATATTCAAAAACATTAATAATAAAATCATATTCAGGAAAGTTCACCCGGAATGATGCATGTCATAGTTGATTAAGATCAGTTTTCTACTTTCTGAATTCTAGGAGCAGCATACCACTAGTTCATTTTCATTCACCCATGAGTAGAGTGCCTTGGACCTATTCCCGCCACTCCTCGCCTTATTCTGCCTTTTCATTTTCAACCAACAAAGACCTAGAAAAGCCTCAATCAATCGGAGGAACGAAGTAGCTCGCTTAAAAGGAGAGGAATGACTTCAACAAGAGGAACTACTCTTTACTTCGATAAAGAAAGAACTTTCTAGAGAGAGTTGCTTACTACTAAAAGCAAGATGCCCCCCTAGTCTGATTTTATTGATCACTAGCCCTTACTCTCAGTCATTGATTCAAGAACGAATACTGAGACAGGTGTCCCCCTGTCGTTTTTTTGAAAGAAAAAAACATTAATGAAATTTGCACACTTCTATCCCGGAATCCCCATGCCTAGAGAACTTGACCTATTTAAATTTAATTAAATTGCAATCTGTTCTATAAAAGAATGCAATTTGTGCTACTAACCAATAATACTTAATTATCTATCAGCAAATCAAAACGTAAACATTTTCTAACTTGAATGTTTCATAAACTTGAGTTTATTTCTTGTTCAGGCACACAATCAAATTTACTTTTCCACTAAAAGAAGTTCAATTTAGTTATCTTGAATAGAAATGAGAGATTAACACTCTGATGGGCTTAGTAGCAAAAAGAAAAAACAACAGAAATGCAAAAATGGTCATATATTTTGTCAATTGGCAGAGTAATAAGAATGGAAAGTATCCAAAGAACTGTACCTGTATCCACCTAGTGGAAGACAAGTCATTTCTTTCAGACAAGATTCTGAATTTTGAGTCCCAGCTTTTGTCGTCTACTTGAAAAGGAACATATTAGAAAAGTACAAATAGTAAACCATGAGAGAATCTAAAAAGATTTACAAAGTCAACTCAATGACAATTATGCCAAAGAAGCAGAATCAAGTACCTCCATCGCCATATCAAACTCAGCTACATTAGCAGTGTAAGCTTTTCTTGTCTTGTCCTTCTTTGAAGCAATCTGCATGATAAGAAGAGAGTGAAGATATATGAATCAATAAAAAGTAATTACCCAACTCAGCATGAAAGAATTAAAAAATGAATTACAATCAACCTGCAAAATGTAATCATTTCAATTAAGTTGTAGAATACTTCAGCTGATAAAAAGAAGTTTATTTAAACATGCTCAAGCAAGCAAGTAGTATATATGGAACAGTAGACAAAGGAAAAAACGCCCATAAAATAACAGAATTATTTAATTCTTTAAGTCTCATATACTCAAAATTTCATAAGAATTAGCTTTGATTGGTCAGAGGTAAGTTCTCAGATTGGTCAGAGGTAAGTTCTCAGCACTCGAGCTTTTCATCGGAATCATGAAACACGAAGTGGTCTACCCACCAAGAGTTCCATATTATTTGCTCCTACATTTTCAAGAGAAAATAAGACAGACCGATCCTCATTCAGCAATACTGTTTTTGCCTTCCCACCAGCCCACTTGTCTGTTATTTGTCCGATCTTCTTATAATACACAAAAAGTGGAAAAGTAAAAATGATGTCTCATGCTAAACAACACAAAAATTGAATGTTCATTGAAGCTTCCACATGTATGTCACCAGCTGGCAGACAGAGAAGTTAACTGAAACCCAATATGAGTGCAATAGACATGCATCTAGTTATATATAGATATAAATGTTTTGCTTCACGCACCACATCAAGAGGCACACAATCCAAGGCATTCAGAACCACTTCTCTATAGAGAGGAAGTGAAGTACCTAACCACCTGAGCTAAAGGTGGTACGGGCTTTATAATTGCAAAGATACCAAGCACCTGCTATGCTAGTTAAAGAGAGGAAATAGAACTCATCATTTTCAGTTATTTAAAAAATGAAAAACAGTTAAACTAGCTTTGATTAGATCATGTATTCCTTTTTTACTTGAAAGTCTATGTTTGAAAAAAAAAAAAAACGAGAAAAAGAAATAGATCAAATTACAATAAGAATTGCACTCAGAATACAAAAAGGGATGGGAGTTTCAGGGTTTTGTGGCTTCTTAATCACTTCTTAGGAAGACGTAACTGAGTGCCAGCCTCAGAATTTTCAGCTAATGCCTAATGGTACCCCTTCTGAGTTCTGTATGCGAGTTGCACACTCCTGATACTATAATAATTCTGTTAGATCTATTCATTTCTATACAGCTATATACCACACTCCTAAATCTCAAAATGGTAAAGAATTGGTTAAGCAACCTTAACAGACTATATAATTTAGCAAAATAAACAAACATCTTAGTGCTGTTAGACAGCACTTGCATGTAAACATTGCTCTCAGTTCTTATAATCCTTCTCTAGCTCAAGTCTGTTTTCACATGTCATAAAAACCAGAATTCTAGCTTGTGAAAACACCAAGTAACCTTTGTAACACAAAAAGAGATGGAAACAGCAAAAATATAAATGATGATATCTCCCAAATTCACAGAAATCTTGGACAAGAATTACCTCCAGCACAGTGTCCGTGCTACTCTCAGAGAGTAAGAATGCAGGAAAATTATAAGTGTTCCACATGATACCAGATCCCTGCAAACACAAGATCATGCATCTTTAGCTTGTTTAACAAAATACAAAATTAGAAGTCCTTGAGTCCTCAAAGCAGCACCAGTCAGTGTGAGTTTATTCAAGGAGTTAATTGGCAAGCCTGATAAAGAAGCAAAATGTTCATTTTTTATAAGAAAAGGAAGAGATTAATCTTAGAGAGAGAGAGAGAGAGAGAGTATACAAGGCAGAAAAGTCCTAATAATGTAAATGATAGATTGATTCATTTTCTGTAGCTTAAACTTTTGGAATTATTTGCTAACATCGATTGTTTCTCGTGATACTAGAACCAGAAGTGTTGAGCTAAAATCTTAATTGATGCTCTCTTTCTGAATTAATTAAAACTTGGCAAAATGTATGATACATACGTATTTGATAAACAACTTCAGCCAAATGGGCTTACACATGAGGTGATATATTAGAAAATAACTATTTCTTATCAAGTTAAATATTTA